AGACATTATGTTGAAGATGAATTATACAACTTATGGGTGGGGACAGGAGGGAAAACTGGGAGAGAGTGAAGGAAGGGGTGATATTGTCCAAAAAGAAGGTCAGACATTACCTGATTAAACTGTAATCCATCTGTACATCACTTTTATAACAACAATAAAAAGACACTGAATCTCATCCACCTGACAGAGGCAGAACAGCAGACTGGACCAGAAGTTAATACTCCTAAACACAGTGTTGTGAAAAACTCTAGACTTTAAAAACAAGGAACTAATTGTAAAGGCAGCGAAATCAAAGAGGGAACTTTATTACAATAGGAAGATAAGATAATCTTTCTCCACACAAACTGTGAAGGCAAGGAGAGTCAGGAGTGCTATAATTCAAGGTTTGAATGACAACAATTGCCAGTCTAAACTAGTGTATCCAGAAGAGCTATCATTCACAATTGTTGGAGAAATTAAAACCTTCCACAAGAAACAAAAATGAAAGGAATGCATAAACACTGAACCAGCACCACAAAGATACTAAAGAAGACAAAGTCAAAGAAACACAGCAATAAATAAAAATTAATTTAGTAAATTAATTTAGTAAAACAAGCAAAGGAAGAAAGCATACTACAGGAAAACAATGAAATAGCAGGAAACATGGTATATTTGCCCACGGTAACATTAAATATCAATGGGGCCAATTTTCCAATCAAAAGATGCAGAGCAGCAACAAATAAAACAGCAACCCCTCCCCCCCACCTCCTACCCTCACCCCCGCCCCCAGGAGACAACCATTATTCATTACCTCTAAGAAATCCATCTCATGGTCAAAGATCAACACTAATTCCAAACAGAAAAAGTTCTTTCAAGCAAATATATCCTGCAAAAAGTCAGGAGTAGCCATTTTTGGTATCTTACAAAAAATAGATTTCTCATTAAAAGTATAAAAAATGAGAAGTAAGCGACCAATCTGGGGGACAGACCTGCTGGACTGCTCTAAGCGGGAATGGAGGCAGCAGTGGTGGACAGGTGTGGGCAAAATTTAAACAAAATTTACGGGGTAGTCATGGGTCCCATTATTTGGCTATAGGAATCGGGGGCAGAGTCAAGTTCCGAGGAGTGTAACAAGAATTGTGCAACTGGGATGGGGATTTGTAATGTGCCAGTGAGGCAACGGGTTTGCACATCATACTGGAGAAATGGTGCAGCATCAGGGAAAGAGAAACATAACAGATTTTTATAAACAGGTAGGGATGCAGGGCGGGGACTTTCCAGAATCAGCAAGTTGACTCCAAGACTTAGAAAAACCAGCAAGGAGAGACAAAGAAGGTTCACTACATATTAAGAAAGGGAATAATCCACAAAGAGGAAATTTCAGTGGTCAATATATATGTGCCAAACAGTGAGCCACTTAAATACATAAGTCATTCTTAGACTTACAGAGTGTAGCTTCTGTACAACTCCTTTATAATAAAAATACAATTACATATACATCTATATACAACTATATCTATATCTATATCTATATCTATGAGCTCCTGAGACTGAGTCCACCTCAACCAATGGCTAATGGTATGGCATGTCCCTGTTATCCAAGCTATGGGAAAGCAAAATGGCTGGGTGCATTGGTATGCACCTGTCATCCCCAGAGACATGAAGAAACACAAGCAGAAAGACTAAAGTAGCGGGCCTGGACATAAAGCAAGACAATACCTCAAAATGAGCCACTGTAAAAACAAACTGGAGATGTGGCTCATATAGTAGAGCACCTGCCTGCTAGGCCCTGAATTCAATCCCCAGTGCTCTTCCCCATCTCAAAATTGTTGAAGATCCTACTTTGGGGGAATATACCCTTTTACTAGAGGAAATAATTTTCTTTCTTGGAAAAACCTCAGAAAGTTTTTGAGTTTATTTAGAAAGTGAGACAGGAACACACACACACACACACACACACACACACACACACACACACACACACACACACACAAGCCCCCAAGAAAGCCGAGGGAGACTAAATGAAGTACAGGAGAAAAAAAAAGAGGAAGCAATGCCCCAGAGTGATGTGAGTGCCTACAATAGCTGTTTTTCATCCTATATGTTTTAAAAAGTAGCCTGGAAAGTTTCTCTAGAGCTTCTTAGCAACCAGTATGAAAAAAGAAACCACACAATTCACTCTATGATTGAACTCACATACATTTATAAACTGTCAGGCTCACTGTGGGGTTTGTTGGCTTCCTAAAAAAGAGGCTGTTATTCAGAAAGGCAGTTCTTCATTCCCTTGCATTACTTTAGTAGATGCTTTGGGGGAATCATAAACCATGATTCTTATCAGGAATATAAAGCTGTCATAATCCTCAGGACCTCCTGTAGCAGTATAGCTACTTGGTCTCTCACAGATAAATCTTATTTGATACTAATACCAACATACTCTCAGGAATTCTGTTTTCCTAGATATCTTTTCCTTAGAGTACAAGGTATAAGGTATCTTTGATTAAGGTAAACTTTTATATTTCCATTTTTTCCCCTGGAGATCCTGTTATGCTTTTTTTGGGGGGGGGGGGGAGTGGGGAATAGATTTAATGAATGAAATTGCCTTTAGTTTTAAATAGCAACTTTAACGAAACATTATGACTCATTGTTCATCTAATCTAAAGTAGATTCATGTTACAGTAACAGAGTCTAGAAATATCTCTTTTTGTTGTTGTTCTGTAGTATTCTTAAATCTTCCCACGACAGAGTAGATTTATTGTAATTCAATAACTTTCTGATATACATACTATATTAATAAGATATTGTACTTACCCAAGTGGTCTTTCAAATTTCTTCTACATCAAAGGAGGGAACAACAATCCATTTTAGTGAAGAAAATGTGTTTCTATTTTTTCCTTCCCAAGATGTTAGAGGAAAGGATTCTAGTTTTAAAGAAAGCTTCCGTATCTTCTACTTCAATGCCAGTTCAAACTGGCTAAGAAACCACAGGGTGTGCCTGTTACAGGGAAGACTGAAGAAGAATGGACTTGGTTTTAGTTTCATTTCCCAGATCTCAGAAATTATTTCTCTGTTTCACTTTTCCTTCATCACAACTTTGCCACCTGCTGGTACATTTGTTTAAAATGCAAAGATTTGACATCTTTACTTGAGAGTTTGGAGGGTTGCAGAGAGTACTGTTGTACTGGCTATCAACAAGCTGTGTGACATTTTGTCTTAATTGATTCCTTGGGAATGCTGTTTGCTTTCTTTTGATTACACTTAAATATTGTTTAAATCTGTTTTCTGTTGCTCTAATTGAGTATCACAGAGTAGAGGATTTACAACAAAATTTGTTTCTTATAGTTTTAGAGTCAAGGGGCAAGGTCAAGGGGCTGCTTCTGCTGACAGCATTCTTACTGATGGAGATTGCAGGGTTCCAAGGTGGTACAGAGCATCACCAGTGGGAGCAGGCCTTGCTTATGTTGTTTTCTTTTTCTTTCCCGAGCTATTATTCATTTTTCTCTTGTTTCTTTTCTTCCATTTCAACTGCCACTTTGTATTTCCTAAGACTGTAAGATATAGAGGCTATTCCTGTGGCTAGGTATGGCCAATGAACAACTTCAATCGTTTGGAGACATGAGTTTTCTTGAAGTGCTGACTCCCCCCACGTACTAGCATGGACCCTATGAGCTGCAGATACAACATTGTTAACTGTCCACACAGGCAGGCCCAACTTTCCCACAGGGACTGGACATGTTTGGACAATGGAGTCTCTATTCCACAGAATGTTAAAAAATAGATTAGTTAGTCTCAGAGGATTTATGACTAGGCTTTATTTACTCAAGTGCTATTCAGCTTTAAGGAGACACCTTTGACCTTTGGTTTCTTTTAAAAACTTCCTTCCTTCTTTTTACGCTTCTTTCAAGAGAAGAATCTGCAACCTTAAGTAAAATTTACATGGCTATAAATCCTCCCGAGTATGTAGTTCATGTCATAGTTATTTCCAAATGAATATGTAAGTTACCAGGCTTAGTGTAAATGTAATTCTTTTCTATTCCAGTGTCTTTATTTGGCTCTGAGTTTTGAGTACATATTGGGAATATTGTTTGTATTAGAACATAGAATGACTCTCTCCTACAGCATTTGCTTCCTTGACATGTAAATATTTATCTATCCCTCATGAGATATTATAATGTGGACTTCTCAGTTCTGAGTAGGAGCCAACCTGACTCTTAGATCATTCATGCATATGTGATAGTGCTTTGTCTGAATGTGATGTGTCACCCCAGAAATTCTAGTTGAAACTTCATTGTGAGATACAAGAGCAGGGGTTTTGTGAGACCTTTAAGAGATGATTAGAACTCTGCCTTGAGTGAATCCATTGATAGGAGGCGTATCTTAATAGGCCTCCATAGTGGATCTATGTCTTCCTCTGTGATACTTCTTGCCACTTATCCTCTGAGGTGACACATTCAGGGCTCTGCTGACATAACGCTATCACCACATTAGGTCTCTTGACCTTGGATCAGAACCATAAGCTACAATAAACCTCTTCATAACTTACCCAGTCTGTGGTATTGTGTTGCTAAAACAGAAAATAGATTGAGATATAATAATCAGGAATCATATTTTATTTCTCAAGTAAGTAGAGGGTTTCCAAGCCCAGGATGGTGAAAGAATTAAGAGGGAGGGAAGTAGGGGGAACGTAGGACAGGCAGGAAAAGTGAAAGCTTTATTAGGCAGCAAAAGGAAACAGAAACTAGCAAAGAGAGTATAATTGCCACAAGGAAAGACTGAGTATAGTCTTTATACCTTGGTTTACATGACCTTTGATTGGCTGTCCTTTTTTTTTTTTATGGGTCATAAGGCTTGAACTCTAGGCCTGGGTGCTGCCCCTGTGCTCTTTGGCTCAAGGCGAGCACTCTACCACTTCAGCTACAGTGCCACTCCAGTTTTCTGGTGGTTTATTGGAGATAAGATTTTCACAGACTTTCCTGCCTGAGCTGGCTTTGAACCATGATCATCAGATCTCAGCCTCCTGAGTAGCTAGGAGTACAGGCATGAACCACTGGCGCCTGGCTTTCCTTCCTTCCTTCCTTCCTTCCTTCCTTCCTTCCTTCCTTCCTTCCTTCCTTTCTTTTCCTTCCTTCCTTCCTTCTTTCTTCCTTCCTTCCTTCCTTTCTTCCTTTCTTTTCTTTCTTTCTCTCTTCCTCTCTCTTTTTTTCCCTCCTCCTTTCACTTCCCTCCCCCCATTCCTCCCTTCTTCCCTCCCTCCCTTCTTTGTACCAGAGCTTGAACCTAAGGCTTCACATTTCCTCAGCTTACAACTGTAAGCTGTTAAGCAATGCCTCAGCCATAGCTGAGCCATGTCTCCAGTCTGGCTTTTTGCTGGTTAAGTAGAGATAGAGTCTCATCTTGGATTGATTTTTAATTGAGATTCTCCAGTTCTCATCCTCCTGACTATCTAGGATTACAGATGTGAACCATCAGTGCCAAGAAAAGGATTTTTGTTGTTGTTATTATTATTGTTGTTGTAGCTTTTGGTACTGGGGTTTGAACTGAGGGCCTTATGTCTACCACCTGGCCTATATCTTCAGCCTTCCTCCTTTTATTATAATTTTGTCACACTATGACATGTCTTTAGTTATTTATTACTGAATGCTGTAGTCTTGTTTTGGTTGAGTTGTAGAGAATTTGAGGATGAATCTATCTCCACAGGCTTAGGAGCACTTCAGAGAGTGCTGCTACTTGGGACAGTCTGCTTGAATATTTTGTGGACCATAGAAGACAGAAGCAGATGTTGAGAGCAGAGTCTGGATCAAATATGGTTTTTAGAAACAGACATGTTTGAAGACCTTATTAGTACTTCCCAGATTCATAGAGATACTGATGATCAGAACACTGAGAAGGCATAGACTGCTTGGTGACAAGAAAAATGGAATTTAAAGTCTGTAACAGCTTAAATCGCAGGCTCTAGTACACAGTGTGAGGCTGTGCTAGCTGTTACAGTTGTGGGAATGAGCTCCAAGTTGACATTCCTGGCACTGAAACATGGGAAGCACTGTTGCTGTGAGGAAACCTCTAATCTGCCAGGGACTGGGTGATCAGCAAAGAAATCCTGGTGGAAGTGACTCTTGAACTGAGCTGTGAAGGTCATATCAGAATAGCCCTAGATAGAATGAGGGAAGAAAATAAGAGAATCTCAAAGAGAAAGAGGAGAGTGAGCAAGTTAAGAAATAGAACATTGTAATGAAAAAAGAAGCAGAAAGGAATGAACTGCAACATCCAGGTGGAGAAAAGGCCACTTTCACAAGAGATAAGAATGGAGCTAATTCACATGTACATTGTGCAAAAGAGTGCAAGCAAGAGGCCTTTTTGTCTTTTGCTCTCTTCTTCTTCCAGAAGCAAGAACTGGAAGGAAGAGGGCATGAAGTTCAAAGAAGTGTATGTGTGCGTGTGCTCTGAAAAGTTAAATGTAGTGTGGAAAACAAAATTTTTACCTTATACATTTTTTTCCTTCTTGAAATAGAGTCTTTGTACATAGCCCAGAGTGTCCTCAAACATAGACTCTTCCTGCCTCCTGAGTGCTTGGATTATAGGTATGTGCCAACACCACACTCAATGCTTTCATAGAATTTTTTTTGGCTATCATGGGGCTTGAACTCTGGGCCTGGGTGCTGTCCCTGAGCTCTTGAGCTCAAAGAGAGCACTCTACTACTTGAGCCACAGCACCACTTCCTCATAGAATTTTTTTATGGGTACCAAGATGAGGTAAATGGATCTTGAGAGTGCTTCTGTGACTTTGAGGTAAAAGATGCTTAGGCGGAACTTTCTCCTCCATATTCTTCAGTTAAATATAGTCCATAATGAAGAGATAATTCAGAAAGTGCATTAAAAACACATTTTATTGATTTTTAACCAGTTATGACATGACAGTGGCTATCAGTTGAAGCTTCTTAGATGCTAGTCTGAAATAACAAATATAAAATAGTGAATGATGGACTCTATTGTATGTCCTCCTCTGTGATGTAGGCTCATTTCATGTCCTAGAAAGGCTTCCAATATATTTAGAGAGAAAAACCAATATTTGTGATTAGAGTTTAGCCAATAATGTCATCAAGATGCCATGAAGATGGAGAGAAGAAGTGCAATTTTACAAGATATAAATAAAATTTTTAAAATTCTTTATCTTCTTTGCTTTGTTGTTGTTGATTGTGGGGCTTGAACTCACAGCCTGAGGACTATCTGGGAGCTCTTTTGCTCAAGGCTAGTGCTCTACCACTTTGAGCCACAGCTCTACTTGCATTTTTCTGGTGGTTAATTGGAGTTGCGTAGCAAGGACTACAAGCATGAGCCACCAGGGTCTAGCTTCATATATCTTCTTTTTTATTTTATTTTTTTATTTTTTAAATTTTTTTATTGTGAAAATACCGTACAGAGAGGTTACAATTACAAGGGCAAGATAATGAGTACATTTCTTTTTTTTTCTTGTGAAAATACTGTATAGAGGGGTTACAATTACATGGGCAAGATAGTGAGTACATTTCTTATCAAGCATTGTAGCCTCCTCCTTTGTTTACCCTTCCCATCCCTTCCCATCCTCCCTCCCTCCCCACCCAGTCCTCCCCCCCCCCCCACAAGTTGTAAAGTTCGTTTTTGACATGACAACTTGTACTTCTCATTGTTGCAACAGGTCCACCTGTATCCTTATTTAAACGACTTGTTTTTCCCCTTCCCCTCCACAAATTATACCGACATCAAATACAGTGAAAGCAGGGGTTATACTGTGGGGGAGGGACATACAAAGCAACAAAGAAATAATTTTATAATTGCGTTAGAAACAAATGCATGAAAGAAAAAAAACATTTAAAATACATATCTTAAGGTTCATTTTCCTAACATCACCTTATTCATATATCTGCTTTTATTATTTCTATATCATATGCCAGAGGGCCTTCAATGGAAAATCCTAGGTAGAAGGACACTCTTTCTATGTTTCTCCCACTCCAGAGTAGGCCTGAATACACAGAGGTCACTGGTATTTTTATTTTTTCCTCTGTTCCATATTCTATAAAGATCAGCTTGCCTTCAGCTTGACCAACTAGCCGATGCAGGAGGGCTTTGACTTCATTTTTTTTCCATACATCGCCACTCTGCCAGAGTGAATGTGTATTTGGTACTTCCCTAAAGTACTGTTCTATTTTGGCCTTGTGAACAAGACTGTTGAAACCTTTCATCTTCCCTAGATAGAAAAGTGTGCTTGCCTGCTTGGACCTGCACATGCGCCTGTACTGCCCCCTGAATGATCGGTTCAAGGAGGAGACATACTTTCCCACTAGTTTAGAATCTTGATCTAGCTCTTGATTTTCTGGCCAGAATAGCAAGCAGGCTAAGAAGTAAGGATATGGATGTGGATGATTTACTTCTACAAGTTGTAAGACTTCTCGAAGTTGTTTTTTTAGCACAGTAAATGGTTGAATGAGCTTGGAGTTGGGTTTTAGACAACTGAGGATAATGTGTGCCAAAATGAAATTTTGTTTCTCCTTTATCAGTCGTTTATTTCGGTTTTGGTCCAATAGGAATGTGTACTCATTCACTATATTTTCCATGATAGTTGCAGCCTCTTTGTGACTTGGGTTAAGATATTCCAAGAGTCCAGAAAACCTATCTGCTTTCAAAGCTTCTAGTTTTTTCCTGCAATTTTCTTCTAAGAGTAACTGACTCTCTCTGCCTTGTCCTAGACTTGAATCCAAATGGCAGAAAAGTTCTGTGTATTTCTTGAAACCACGGCTGACTTTCTTGCCTACTATGACTTCCATTAATTCTTTCTGGGCATTCCTTGTTTTTAGAAGGACCATGTAATCCATGAAAAAGTCAAAACACCTTTTCAAATCTGCTTGTAAATTTTGCAGGTGAGATGTGAACTTGCTGAGTGCCAGATAATACTCATTTTTTGGATCAGGAGGAATGCTCCCCTTTCCAGATAAAAATTCTACCATTGCTTTTTTCAATAGTTCATTATCTTTGGGGAAAAAGGGAGTGAGCTGAAGAATCTGGATAGTGTCAAGACCAACTTCTATTTCACCCAAGAAACCAGCAGTATTGTATGTGTCGTATCTTCTTTGGGACTTCTGTGGTGACCAGCCTTCAGTTTCATAGTCTTTACAATCAGTTTGCTGTTGAGATTCTTGGAAAGCTTTTGAGGCCTTTTCAGCAGATGCCAGGAGATGTGCAAGATCTTTAACATTAATGTTCTTACAGTTTTTGTTTTTATCCAACCACCATTTGATCTCACTTTTGTAGACTTGACCAAGTGTATCTGAAATATAGGAATTTTTAGGTGCTTTCTTTTTGGCTAAATTTGCCCAGTACAGAGCAGTGTTAAAATTCTTTTCTTTAATGTAGAAGTGTCTTGCTAAGGCTTGGCAAATGAAAACATTTTGTGGGAATCGAATGTTTCCTGCCATCAAGACCTCTTCTGTTTCTTTATTCTGCAAGGCTTCAATTAATGGGGAAAACAGAGTGTCTGTTTCAGCTCCATACTCCTTGCGCTGTCTTGTAAGCAGAAGAGTTTGTACATCGTCCTGGAATTTGTCTCTCCCTATTCCAGAATTATAGAATAAATCCTCGCGTAGAATCTTGAGTGCAATTTGACATTTGTCCATGTGATAGCTTTTTTCCAGTTCTTTTAGACAGTAGATGGCAATCAGAGGGTGAATGATGCGCACACCTGTGTATCTCCCACGTTCTGAAACTTCTGTTCTTACTAGAAGTGTAGAATAGGTGCCCATCCTGTCTTCTAGACTTTCAGATTTCCAGGGTGTGCTAGTGTAGGTGAGTCCCAAAAATATTTCACACTGTGATAGCGAAATTGTAGAATCGGTAACATACGAGTTCAGTAAAGCCAAGAAGGAAATGAGTTCTGCTTCCTTGCTGTCAACATTCTGTTCTTTCAAGATGTTCCTTACTACATTTTCTATGTAGGTTTTATCAAAATTGCCTTTCAAAATCATGAAAGAATAAAAATTTTCACAGTTTTTGTGTTCCTTTTCAATCTCCTCCAATTTGGCCTCAAAAGCTCTTTGTTCTTTAGGAGAAAGTTCGTATGTTAGCGAAATACTATCTGCCAGTTTTGCACTTTCTTCAGGATTCTGGGATCTCATGCAGTTTAAGATAATTACCAATGTCTTTTCATAGTGCAAACCAGTTTCTGCTAAAAGGGAATTAATGGTATTCTGTAGAATATAGATATTTTCCTGTTCTTCAAAATCATCCACAAGGAGAAGGACAGGGATACAATCCTGGTGGCTAGTCTTATAGGTGATCAACTTGCTTACTTGTTCTCCAATCTCTATAAAGTCAGTTGCTTTGTTTTTTAGCACAGCACATCTGAATTTTTTCTTTAGGTCCCAGAGAACATGCATAGCTAATGTGGTACCTCCACAGCCTGGATGATGGTAAAGGTTGATGATTTTGGCAAATACTGGTTTGGGAGATTCTGCACAGCATTGCATTAAATCCTTAAGATTTTCATAACTGTCCCTTTTCACAAAAGCTGAAGAATAGTTTTCAGAAGAAAAATAGAAGTTCCACCAAGATACTTTACCACCTCGATAAAAGTGTTCTTCTTTTGATTTCTTAAATTCTGAGAATTTAGATTCATCTTTCTCTATGTCTGTGTCTCTACACTCATTTTCACAGAGGATCTCCAGTGCTGTCAGCAGATCTTCTTCCATTTTCTCTAGGATAACTGAAGAAGAGCCATGAGAGGGTAAAAACCTTCTTGATGACTGAGTCACTGGTTTCAATTTAAGGATTGTACTGTTCACAAGCCCTAAATTTAAAGTGGAGATGCTATGGTTTTCCAATTCATCTGCAATTTTCAGTTGCATTTGTAGTAAATCTTTCCACCGTTGGTAAATCTGTGAATCGACACAGATACACAACGTGTTTTCCAGTCCATTCAGAGCTCGATAGAAAGCACAGAATGTTTCAGCAAATGGATCTCCTGGGCTTTGCACTGAAGAGAGTAAGAGAAACACCACCAAAAATTTCCCTCTTGCCATGACATTTTCATCTGTGAGAAATGAAATCAATTTTGTAACTCCATAAGCTCTCTCTCTCTGCCATAAGTGTGGTTCAAGAGGTTTACATGATTCATCTTGCAGATCTGATCTGCCATTGCAGAAGATCCAGCTTGGCTGCTCAAAAAGTTTCAGAGTAGAAATTTTCTCCCCTATGGTGATTGTCTTTTCTTCATACTGACGTGGAAGGTGAAGGTTTGCGACTCGGCTTTCTCTGTAAGCTCTGACAACTCCCTTCATCAGAGATTCAGGATCAAAGTCTAACACAGCAAACCATCTAACTTCTTTTAGAAAATCTAGGTGCTTTATTTGACTTGGATTACATTTATTGATCACAAGAATGTACTCGTCATAGTATGAGTTATCCAGTGAGTCTCGGTTTCCAATGAGAAGTTTAACTAGCTTCAGTCCTTCACTCTCTTTCTTGGATGCCTTCATCACATATTCTTCCTCAGCCTCTTTTCTAGATGCTATCCATGACTTTAGATTTTCTAGAAATGCTTTGAACTCTGTATCGCGTTTCTTGACACTGGCCAGGATATTCTTAGAACTAGCGCCTTCTCTCACATATAGCGAATGATCTTGGTCTTGTTTCCATGTTTTATCCGCATTATTTTGCATCTTAATGTAAAAATACTTTTCTTTGCATACTGAATGTTTGGGAATAATATCCACTTCAATGACAAATCTGTCCGATGGTGTGTTGTTTTGCAGTAGGACTTCCACAAACCTTGGCTCCCGAATACACTTCTTGGCTTCCTGGATCTCACTCTCTTCAAAATATTTTTTAATCATTACATTGAAGTGGTCGATGAAGACATCCTTACTGGTAACTTTCACACCAACGATTTCTCCATGGGGTTTGTCCTTGACTCCAAAATGGATGGTGCCATTCGTGCGTGAATTCATACAAGCAGATGCAAATCGGAAGACTTCATTGGTAAATTTCATCTTAACATCCTCTTCTGTAGCCATTTCTATGTTTGTGAGAGCTTTGAACTCATGTATAGGGTCAATGAGATTGAGTGGTCCTGTTTCAGGCTGTAGAATATAATGTTCTATGTAACGTTGGCTGTCATGGAAACGATCAAATGGATATGGCATGCAAGTAAATTGTTCAGCTTCTGGTTTATCCTTTTCCTTATCTTTAATCTCGACTTCACTTACTGTATTTTCTTTTGTATTACTGGTCTCTCTGAGATCATGTTCAATATTGGATGGCATTGATTTTTCCTCATTTTCTGTCTGCTTTGACTTTTTTTGCAGTTCCTTTTTGGAGGCTTTTGTATCATTGAATTGTCTGGAATTTGGGTTGTTACTTTCTAGGGAACTGTTACTCAATTTGTTATATGTGCGTTTTATCAGAAGTGATGGGCCACGTGGTAGACCCATGTCTTTAAGATCCTTTTCATTTAATTCCTGAAGGACTAACCCTGTTACTTCTTCATTGAATAATATTTGCCCATATTTCTCATCAATCTTCAGGTCTTCAGTTACCCATTTCTTGACCTGTTCTTTGGTCCAGTCTTTGATCCTTTCAGGTAGATTTACTTGTTCATTCATGCCAAAGCTTTAAATTTATTCCTTGGAAAAAAACAATACATTTAATATTTTAACATTATACTTTATCATTGAAATCACTTAGCTATTATGTATATTATCTCATACATAGCATATAGGCTGAATATTTTTCAGGGTTAACTGAAATCTGCATGATTTTTACTCTGAACAGTTTTTTTAATTTTTTTTATTTCTGAACAGTTTTATAGTCTTAATTCATGTCCTATTTCCCCAGGCATTTGTAGGCTATGAAGTAAGCAGTACCTTCTAACTAGGTAACACATACTTTTTTTTAATGATAGTTTTCTTTTTTAGGCTTGACTTGGTAGAAGTGGAATTTTCATAATTTAAAAATAGAACTTTAAAAGCATCACAAATCAGTCTCCATAGCAGAATATTGCAAATAAACTTTAGAACTATAGGTAAGGAAAGGTGAAAGTCGAGTAGGGAAAGGAGACCCTATCCATATCTTGGAATCTGGCCTGTTTTGTTATATAGTAACAAAGAAAATGTGTAATCATCACTTACTATATTTTGGAACTCTAGCTCCTGGTCCACAAGGCTACAGCTTCAGGGATATGACAGTAAATAATTAACCAAGTTACCTAATTCTTGTGGCTACTAGAGACTACAAAAGACATTAGCTGTAGGTCAAGCTTGTCTTTTCTACTTAAAAATACGTAGGAAAAGTAAAATGCGTTTTAATCCTGTGTTAAAACTACTTGCACCTGAATTATTGGTATGAGATTGATGAAGAGCCCACTATCTGGACTCTGCCAGATTGCAAGGACTATTTGGGATGCTTAATACAGGTATTCTCAGTATTGGCTAAACAGGAGAATCATATGGAGCATTATACCTGAGATTCCAAAGTTATTGGTTGAAGGAATTTAAGGAGGGGTGATATTTTCAGGCGTTAGTTCCTATAATCATATTTCTGGGTGATTCCGTTATGAAGACAGTCAAGGACAGTGGTTCTCAAGGTGTGGTCTCCAGACTCCAGCAACAGCAGCAGCATCGACTGGAAGCTCACATGATATGTAAATTCTCATACTCCGTACTGGACCTACGGATTTGTAATAAAAAAATCAATAAATTGGTTGTAGGGGGAAATCCAAGAAAATGAAAGCATTTTAATAAGTAGAAACTATCAAAACTGAAACATTTTTTAAAAAATCAAGATTAAATCATAAAGAGAGAAAAGTTTAAAAGATTTACAGCTATTTATTTATTTACTTACTTAATTATGCTGCTCCTAGGGCTTGAAATCAGGGAGAATACAGAAGCCCTGTACTCTCCCTGATTTTCTTTTGCTCAAGGTGAATGCTTTATCACTTGAGCCACAGCTGTTCTTCCAGCTTTTTCTATAGTTCCTTGGAGATAAATAAGAGTCTCATGGACTTCCCTACCTCAGTTGGCTTCAAACCATGATCCTCAGATCTCAACCTCCTGAGTAGCTAGGATTACAAGCAAGTCACCAGTGCCTGGCAGAGAGTTGCAACTTTTGAAATAAAAAAATGAAGGAAGCTAGTTTCTCTAAACACACACACACACACACACACACACACAGTAACAAAACAAAAACAACTAATGATAACCAGTCAGACCCAAAGGCCAGTCAAATTGTAAATGTGACCCACACCCAACTACGTTTGACATTTCTTGTAAAACTCACCCACCTCATCTTCTCAAAGTCAAACAAGGAGAACCAATGAGAAAACTGGTGTTTTAGCCTGCAGCTCTGTGATTGGCCAGAGAAAAATTTAACATTACTTATTCATGGTATAAATACAATATTTACACCAGAATGTTTGGGGTATATTAGTTTCCACATGCCTTGATAAAAATTTTTCCTGGCAGTCTTAGTGTCTTTAATTCTCTTAATTACTGGTGACTTCCATCTATGGGTCATAATTAATCCCCAGTAAATTAGTAGAACTATGAGTAACTGACATAATGAGCCTTCTAAACATGATCAACTTCATTCCAATGTAGTGTAAAGGTTCCAAAATAAACAGTACATATATTGTCACCAGAGATAAGTACTATCTGACCCCAAACAGAGTCCTTTTTCATACATTCAACAAATATTTGGTGCCTATTAGATACCAAGCATCACGCTTAAGAAAAAAAAATTGTAACCCAAACAGATGTGCAGTTCTTTCACGATACTCATAGTCCATTAGAAAATAAAAAAACCTAACAAGTCACAAGTGCAAGCTCAAAAACTTTCAAATGACAAATTGTGATAAGTGCTTTGTGTAAGTCAGAAGGAGTGATGTAGGGCTGAGATGTGTGAACAGGGGCATATGACTGGGAATAAGTAATAGTCTAGCTCTCTGTCCCTTCACAGGTGTGTTTGGTAAAGGTCTAAGGTATTACAATGTATGTACTCCAGCAGCAGGTGGTACTTTCTTTTCTTTTCTTTTTTTTTTGGATCCGGTCGTGGGGCCTGAACTCTGGGCCTGGGCGCTGTCCCTCAGCTCTTCAGCTCAAGGCTAGCGCTCTACCACTTGAGCCACAGTGCCACTTCCGGCTTTTTTCTTTTTGCTTATGTGGTGCTGAGGAATCGAACCCGGGGCCTCATGCATGCAAGGCAAGCGCTCTACCACTGAGCCACCTTCCCAGCCCAGCAGGTGGTACTTTCTGTGTCCAGAGCCAGTGTTTTGGCCTGCTTGCAAGTCCCTCTAGTCAGAGAGAGGCAGACCAGTAGCTGGCTCTTGTAACCTGGGATTTCCATCCCCAATCTTCCTATCTGTTTTGCAGAGGTCCTAAGTGTCATCTCGAGTTAGACCAAGGGAGGAATACTGCCTTACAAGAATCAGGTAGACCTGAAAGTATAGCCAGTTATTAAATTTCCAATGAAAGGTTTTCTTGAAGTCATTTTGGAGAAAAAGTTGAACTGAAAAAGTGACTACTCTCATTTAATGTGAAATATTAAAAATGTGACTGCAATATTATTTTTTTTTAGTATATATATTTATTGTAAAGATACTGTATGGAGGATTACAGTCACATGAGTAAGGTAATGAGTACATTTCCTATTGAGTATTGTTACCTCCTCTGTTTTTCTCCTACCATCCCTTCCCTCCCCACCTCCTCTACTCTGCTCCCAGCACTCCTGAAATTGTAGAGTTTGTTTCAACATAGTGTCTTGTACATCTCATTGTTATAATGGGTCAACCTGTACCCTTATTTTAGCATTTTGTTATTCCCCTCCCTGAATCAGGTAAATGTACATACAAGATGCAGGCATTGGAATCAAATACAGTGAAAACAGGTTATACCATGGAGGAAGAACATACGAAAGAAACAAAAAAAAATCACATAGTACATTATAAATACATTAAAAGTAACAGCAAGAAATATAAAACCTCCTGTGTCCTTATCATGGGGTTCATTTCACTTAGCATCATCTTATATGGTCATATGTACATAGCCTTTGACCTCTTCTGCTTGTCCTAGACATATACTAGTTATTGCAAATAAGGGAAACCATGGGACCTATGTATCTTGGGCCTGGCTTACTTCACTTAATATAATTTTTTCCAAGTCTTTCCATTTCCTAACAAATGGGGCAATGTCATTCTTTCTGATGGAGGCATAGAATTTCATTGCATATATATACCATATTTTCTTGATCCATTCATCTACTGAGGGGCATGCAATATTACTTTAAACTTTGAAATACTTCAGGTATTAAGCTGGGTGCCAATAAGCCTAGCTACTCAGGAGGCAGAAATTGGGAAGATTATGGTTCAAGGCAAAAAATTCGAGATCCCATTTCAATAGAAAAAGCTAGGCATGGTGGTGCATGCTTGTCATCCCAGCTATACTTGAAGCAGACATAAGGGACTGAGGTCCATGTTAGCCTGGGCAAAAAAATGAAACTTCATCTAAAAAATAACTAAAATAGCCAAGCACTGATGGCTCATTCCTGTAATTCAGCTACATAGGAAGCTGAGATCTGAGGATAACAGTTCAAAGCCAGCCCAGGAAGGAAAATCGATGAGACTCTTATCTCTAATTAACCAACCAAGTGGAACTTGGAAGTGTGGAACTGAAGTGGAACTGTGGCTTAAGAGGTAGAGCACCAGTCCTGAGTTAAAAAACTAAGGGACAGCACCCAGGGCCCAAATTCAAACACCAGTTCCAGCACTCACAAACAAGTAAGTAGAACAAAAGCAAGCAGAAGTATAGCTGAATGGGCAGAGTGCTGGCCTGGGAAGCACAAAGCTCTGAGTTCAAATCCCAGCATTGCAAAAAAAATTCATCAATTATCTGGGTGCCAGTGGCTCACGCCTGTAATCCTAGCTACTCAGGAGGCTGATATCTGAGGATCACGGTTCAAAGCCAGCCTGGGCAAGGAAGGTCTGTGAGACTCTTACTTCCAATAAACCACTAGAAAACTGGAAGTGGCGCTGTGGCTCAAGCGGTAGAGCACTCGCCTTGAGCTGAAGAGCTGAGGGACAGTGCCTAAGCCCAGAGTTCAAGCCCCGCGACCGACCACCAAAACCAAAACCAAAACCAAACAAACAAATTCATAAATTAAGAATTTCTGAGTGCATAATTTTTATACTTTTTTTTGCTTATGAGACAGGGTCTGGTATTGAAGTTGAGATTCTCTTGCCTTAGTCTCCCAATTACTAAGATTATCAAGATTATAGGCTTGTGCCACCATGACAACAGATTTTTTTTGTAGGCACCTAAAAGGATACTATTTCTGTCATAATTATTGGTGGTTCAATAGACTTGTAATTGATCCTTTAAACACACTGGCCTGCCAAGCAAGTGACTTCATCTTGTTCAATGATCTCTGCCTTAACCTGTCTCTGCTCCCATGCTCATATCCAACCTTTTTGTCACTGTTGAATTGGATTCTGCCCTCCTGAATATCCATGTGCTCAAGTACTAACCTCTAGTACTTCAGAATATGACCTTATTTGGAGACCAAGGCTATTGTCAATGTCACTAGCTGTCAACACGTCACTAAGGTAGACCCAGGCATTCTTTTCCAAGAAGGATTTTTTATTTTTTTAAATTAATTTAGTTTATTGTTATTATAAAGGTGGTTTAGAGAGGGATTGCAATTACATGCATCAGGTAATGAGTACATTTCCTTTCACACAGTGTCTTCTGTTCTCTTACTCTCTCCCAGTCCCTCCTAGACTCTGTTGTTGTTATGAAAAGGAGAAATCTGGGCCCAGGGGGAGCAGCATGTGGACATAAAGACAGAGACAAGATTGTGTTCTAGAAGCCTAGGATTGTCATAGATTGCTAGCACACCTCTAGATGAGGGGCGTGGAAGAGCTTCCTGCTCTCAGTCTTTTAACCTTGGACTTCTAGCTCCAGGATTCTGACAGTACATTCTGGTCGTCGAAGTTGCTCTTACCTGTGATACTTTGTAATGGCAGCCCTAAAAACTAGAGAGTAGTATTACCAGGACCACTCCAGGTAATAATAAGCAAGTACCTCATGATCACTGTCCCAAATGCTTCCATCTCTCTGGCTTCATGCTAACTCTATTAGGTGCTCAAACATGACTATTTCTTCAGTTTTTTCCTCTCTCTATCCCCTCTTTTCTTAACTTTTCTCCTTTGACTGTCTTAATTTTGTTTAGCCATTCACTATAAGCATAATTTTTTCCTCTTCCATCCAACTGCTTTAGGTAAACTATAGTGGTTAAACCCATTCCATTGGCTGTCCGTATGTGTCTGGACAATGATTCTCCATACGCTAACTGGTCTGGCCTTCATGTTGCCACTTGTCCGGTTGTGTTTCTCTGCTCCATTTACCACATCACTCTCTTAAGTGAGTATTTGACCCTTTCTCTCCCAGTGTCATCTCCCTACTTCGCAACACCTCCTCACCTTGGTCACTTCCGGCTGTGCTCTTGCGCCCTAGTTAAACCTGCAGAAGTAAAACAGTGCAGACAATGCCTTGATCTCCTGGCCTGCTTCTTGACTTTTCTTCTGTTACTGCATCCATGTATTTGGAGTTTCTGTTCTCTGAATAGACTGTACACAGACACAGTGAGGTTGGCTTCTCTTCTAGTACCTGCCCTCC